TGCTGCGGATGTACTGTAGTATACTTAGACTTCAATATGGCATTTGATAAAGTAGACCGCAGCCTATTTCTTCATAAGACAGAACAATGTAGAATGCACAGTACCAAGACCAGACAGATTTGCAGTTGGCTGACTAACTGCACTCAGTGTATGATCCTCAGTGGAACTACATATACATAAAGGGAAGCATGCAAAAAAATATTTCAAGGTTCTGTCTTGGACCAACAGTTCAACATCTTCCTAATTAGCAATAGCACTTACACTTATATAACCCTTTATAGTGCTTTACAGTCCTCTCTAAGCTGACTGGTTTAGACAGTCAGCATATTGCCAACAATTTGGGTCTTCATTTTACCCACCTTGGAAGGACGGAAGGCTGAGTCAACCTTGAGCTTGGTGAGACTTGATATGCCAAATTGCAGGCAGACGGCTGTCAGCAGAGGTAGCCTGCAGTACTGCACTCTAACCAGTGTGCCACCAAGCCTTTTTGACCTAGATGAGGGGGACTGAAGGGGCATTTAAATTTACACGTCACCAAACTGGGGAGAATTGCTAACACTTGGAAAATAGATTCATGATTCAGAAGGATCTGGACAACTTAAGCTCTAAGCCTTATTAAATTATGATGTGAAGCCACAGTGCAATCCATGCAACGCTTCCATCCTTCCGCTGCGGCTCCCTGTGGCCCTGTAGTGGCAGAGGGATAAACGAGCTGTCCCCGTTGTGGCAGTGGCGATGGCCGGGGCCTTAGTGTGGGAGCAAAGTGCCTTGAACTTGCTTTGCGTGGCAACAGGATTCCACCTTCGTCGTGGAATTTGCTGTTGCCGCCAGCAGAGGGCTGGGAGAGAATGGTGGGAGCAATTCTTGTGGGATGAGGGCCATCCCCCAAGCCTGGCCTTCCTCCTCTCATTGTGGGGCCAAGAGAAAGAAGAGGGCAGCATGGGAAGGAATGATGATTGCTTGGGGGAAAAATTTTGGATATGGGATTGATCTAGAGAAATGGCAAAAATTGTGGTCACAAAATTATAAAACGACAATGTCAACTGCTTATAAAGAAAATTTGTATAAGATGTTTTACAGGTGGCATCTACGAGAATTGCAAGAATGTTTAAGAACAAATCGGATAAATATTGGAAATGTCATCAGATACCAGGTTCATATTACCATATGTGGTGGACATGTTCGGATGCAAAAAGATATTGGACTAAAATCCACACATGGTTGGAAAAAGTGATAAAACAACACAGACTTTAAACCAGAGATATTTTTATTGGGAATTATACCGGAAATATACAATAAAGAATTGAAATATTTGATTGTAAATGTTTTAACAGCGGCTAGAATTGTATTTGCTAAGAATTGGAAAAATGAAAAAATACCTATGCAGGAGGAAGTTTTTAAGAAAATTATGGACTGTGCTGAAATGAGTAAATTGACATTTGAAATTAGAGAACAAGAAGATAAACAATTTTATATGATACGGGACTTATTTTATCAATGGTTAGATAGAAAGACATGGTAATGAAATAGACTAGGAAGTTTTGTAATAGATGATTAATATATACAGAATATAATACAAAATATATAACCATTGGATGAATGTATAATATAAATTTATAATAAAATCTAGAATATCTTGTATGAAATGATGGAATAATAGTTTAGACAAATGAATGATTAATAACTGATAGATATATAAGCATTTGTTAGATTGACAATTTGAGAACCTTTACAACTTGTAAGGACTATGAAAGGATAGCACAAAAGATTTGTAACCAACTGACACACTGTATGTATATAATTGAAAGATGGTTTTTTTATGCTTTTGTCTGTATATGTTTGTCTTAAAAAATAAAATAAAAATATAAAAACAAAAGAGGGCAGCATGGGGAAACACTCACCTCCCCACCGAGCACCAAGCGCAAAAGCCCAGTGGGGGGGGCTGGTCAAGAAGTGCCCACATTGGCGAGTCAGAGGATGGAGAGGCCTGGCCCAGCTCTCATAGCGAGACACTGTTCAGCACCTCCAGATGTGAGCTGCTGCCTTTGAAACGTGGCACACCTTTGAGGAAACCTGGTAGCGATGGCTGGGGTGGGGGGGCAGTAGAGGTGTCGTGGCTGCTCCTCCCCCTTCTTAGCAATCCGGGCCTGGAGGAGCAGAGAGTTGCGGGCCGAACACTGGAGTATCAGAAGGGTTGCTCCGATGGCACCCCAACACGCGTTTCCAGCGCGCACCCCTCTGTCCCGAAGTGGGGTTGAGTGGGGGGGTAGGAGGAAGGGGATAGGGAGAAGGGTAGGGGGCTTCTAGGAGGAGAAACCCAGGTGGCTTTCCTTTTGGCGTGGGGAGTGGGGAAGACCCAATAAAAATCCAATTTCCCCCAATCAATGGAAAAAATAAAGGTCCAGTGGTCCAGAGTCCAAAAAGGGGGGTGGGTTCTGTGAATCAGAGACGAAATCAGTTGAAATCTGGGTAGCAGACTATTCAGAGAGGGATCTGCCTGGGTCTCTTCTTCCTCCCCCTTAGATTCCCCCCTCCCGGCTTTCTTCTCTAGCCTCGTTTTAAGGAGAGGGGGAAGCAAGGTGGGAAAATAGTAGCTAAAAGGCTGCAAGGGGGGTTAGGGCTGGGTTTATTAAAGACGGGGATGGGGAAAAGTTGCCATTCATTTCTCAAGGACCCAGGGAAAGTGGAATAAATCTCTCTCTCTCTCTCTCTGTGTGTGTGTGTGTGTAAATAATAGCCCAGGATAGCTTCAGGCAAAATAACTGCTGTTATTTTTGCCTAGAGCTTCTAAGCTATGCAGCATTCTTTAATAAATATTAACAATAACGAACCACTATATACAGGATTAAAGGAAGGAAGGTGAAATCAGAGGAGGGGGAAGGAAGGATTTCAAGAAAGGTGAAATCAAAGGAGAAGGGAGGGGGGGAGGGAGTGGGGGGAGGAGGATGTGATGGCCCTCCAGAAGCAACTGCACTACATTCTCATCATTCCTGAGTTGTGCTGATAAAGATGTCCAGTGCCACCAGGGAGAAGTTGTGAAAGAATGATTGACATTCCTCACAAACCCTCATTATCCGGGATAAATTGCCATGTTGGCACCTTGTGATAAATAAGTGGGTTTTGGATTGCAGTTTGGGCACTCGGCCCCTAAAAGGTTCGCCATCACTGACCTAGCTCAACAGTAACATGTTATCTGAGATCTAGGTGTCCTAGTGGACTATCACTTAAGTATGAGCCAATACTGTGCTGCAGCTGCCAAAAATATCCAGCATAATCCTAGACTGCATCAACAGAGGGATAACATCAAGATCACAAGAAGGGATACTACTGCTCTATATTTCACTAGTGAGGAATTTTGCATCCAGTTCTAGTCACCATGATACAAAAATCAATAGGACCGTCCCTGTCCTATTGTTTCTTTTATTTTTCTTATATGTATCCATGTATTCATAACTATGTTTATACTTATACCTATTATCTTGCAAGCAATTGACAAATCAAAATAAATTAAAAAAAAAAAAAGATGTTGAGATCCTAGAAAGAGTGAAGAGAACAACAACAAAGAGATCTGCAGGTTAATTTATATGGTGAATGTCTAAGGACAATAGTATATCTTAACAAAGAGAAGGCTTAGAAGGGACATGATAGCTGTCTTTTAATACTTGAAGTCATGCGTGGAGGAGGGGAGATTGATTTAATCTCCAAAGATCAGAGGACAGGACAAGAAGTAATGGGTGGAAGCCAGTCGCAGGAAGACCCAACATGGAACCAAAGGAGAAACTTCACGAAAGTGAGAACAATTAATCAGTAGAATTGCTTGCCTCCAGAAGTTGTAGGGCTTTATTGCTGGAGATTTTCAAGAAAAAAATTGGATAACCATTTGTCCAGGATGAAATAAAGACCCTGTTTTGTACGGGATTAGACTAGCAGACCTTCAAGGTGCCTTTCAGCCCTATGATTGTAAAAGACTGAAATCCAACTGGAGCAATGCACCTTACCTCTATAATGATTGTGTAAAAGCTTTAAGTTAGTAAACATAAATATACTGTACATTACAAATGAGTGAGAGATAACAATATTTGGCTGTGTTTCCCTTCCTTGAAACAAACACTTTTCAGAGGTCAGGTAGCAAAATTGACACTGCTCCTTTTACAGCAGCCTGCAGAGATTCTTCTAGAGCAGACTGTACAGATCAAACGGATTAAATCTTCTTGGGCTGCAAATATCTGATATAGAGCCAACAGGAAGAACTACTATCTCCTCCCCTCCCCCATCAGATTTATAACCTGTTTTTCTTCCAGCTCAGCCACAAACTCACCTCTTATGGCTAATGATGGACTTGACCTGGGTCTCCTCGCTGCCAGATTTAATTTTTAGCCACTATACCTCATTTGTCTATATGATATCCTTTCCAATGTGCTAAGATGTCCATGGCTCAATTCCAGGTGCTCCTGCACCAGTTCAAGAACAGAGCAGGTGGGAGGGAGGGAAAAGGCAGGGAAAATCACAGCAACGGTGTTGTTGTTTTTTTGTTTTTGTTTTTTGCCCTTTCCTGAGTTTTGCCTTTTTCAAGCCTATTTTCCTCCAGCTGTATCGGGTGACAACTTCCAGGAATACTGAAAGTTGTAATTCAAGCCTTTCGAAAGCTGCTTGGGGGAGGCGGCTACTACAACTTAAATTACTGTTCTAGTGCACTCTGGTGCGCAGGCACACTGAACCGAGGTGGCTCTTGATCTTGCACCTTCTTTACACCCCAGAAAATCTACCCGAGTTCACAGGGAAAGAGGGCTAGAAGAAGCCGCCCACGGAAGGTGGCCATAAGCGGCAGGGAATTCCCAATTTCTCCGGCCTTCGAAAGGCAAGAGCACATGCCTGTCACAAGGCAAGTTTGCCGAAACGAAAGCCGGCCCGGAAGGGTGAGCGGGGAAAAAGTAGATCTGGGACACCGCAAAGCGATCCCAACCAGCCGAGGCACCACAGCCGACGCTCCTGCTGCCGTATAAATGGCCGGCGAGGGCTGCCTGCTGCTGGGCCCCTAGCGGCGAGTGAAGTTTCTGCCTCTCGGCAAGTTCCTGGTGCAAAATAGAGGCGCTGCGGAAGCAGGGTCGGGTCAGCTCCATGGCCTTCATTCGGAAGAGGCGGCAGGAGCAGGAGCTCTACTCCAAAGAGAGGTGGGTGAAACGCCCTGGATAGAGCCGAACCTTCCTCCGAAGGAAAGGCTGCGGCAATGCCAGCGAACGAGCAAACGCTCAGGAGTTGGGCCGCTCTGAACGCCGCCCCTCTGCCCGCGGAAGCGTCTCTCTTGTTGGGGAAATGCGCTGCGATCCAGAGAAAACCCAAAGAATTCCAGCTGCTCTCAAGCGGTTGCGGAATAGGGAGGGGAACCCGTCTCCAGCAGCCACCGGAATCAGTTTCTTGTTCATTGGGTGCAAAGAAGCGACAGAACCAGGAACGATTGGGAGGGGCATGGAAGAAGGGACTCCTAATCTTTGTGTGTGTGTGTACGCGTTGTTGTTGTTGTTGCTTTTGCTTAAAACTAGCATATCATCAACCTTCCTTGCGCCGTCCCGGTGCGCCCTATTGCGAGTCATAGACTTGCAATACGGAAGTGGCGTGGGGACTATTGTCTTGGGACACTGCGGTGTCTGCGCCGTATTGTCCGTCCTTTTAAAGCTGCAGAGGCTCTAATTCTAAAATACGGCAATTGGGGCGTAGGGAGATTTACCATGAATTTCACGAGATGTTGAACATTCGTTTGATAATAACCCCTTTAGCGATCCTGTTTCCCTCCGGATAAAATTTTATAGAATCATAGGATAACAAGAGTTGGAAGTAAAAATATGCTTCATGGTTTCTAGTGCTTTAGTGTAGCCAACAAGACTACTGTTGCATTACCTACCTATCACATTGTGATAAAAATGCTCCTTTAATTAAACAAATTACGGTTTATCAAAGCAATTTGCTGGATTGTTCTGAAGGCGATAGCCCTTGGTGGATGTCTTAATGTTTGTGGGTAGTACAGTTGAACCAATGAATAGAAAACAGCTTCAGTTTTCTATTCTGCAGCTTCAGTTTGTATATATCAATCTCCTCAGTTTTGTCCTGGAACTGATTTTGGAATAATGAAGAATTATGTATGAATATTCTCATTATTAACAGGAGTGCATTTCTATACACTCAAAATAAACCCTTCTAGACAGGAATTTTGGGACAGAGGCAAGGAAAACAAACATAAATTAACCACATACTGTAAATTCTGAGCAAGTTAGAAACCTTTTAAAAATAAATGCTTTTTAAAAATTTAATAATTTGGCTATCTACAGCTCATATTGACCTACATTCTTGAATTTGGTAAAATTTCACAAACAAAAATATGTATCCATGAAGATTTAGATGCAATTAAAATAAGTTTACAAGAGGCATAAAAGTGGTTTCATTTGAAGATGATCCAAATTACATCATATTCCTCTTGGGAATATTTGTCATGTTTATTCAGTCACTACTTCTGGTTTGTTCTTACTGTTCTGCATTAAGGTGAAAAAGGCTAAATTAACTTAATACATTTTTATAAAATGGAAGTAGAGACAAAAACATACCAGGCCCAAACAGAAATTAGTAAGATTTATGCAGAAAATAAAATAAACCAGACTACTTTATATCTACTTTCTCTAACACCTATGAAAGGTAATTGAAAATTTGCCTTATTTTTAACCCTAAAATTACACAAAATAGATTTATTCATCACCATTCTCCCAGATTAAAAATAAGGAAACTAAAGTTAAATCAGGTGCAAAGTAATTAAGCAGTGGACATTCCTAAGCAGTGAACATTACCTACAGATAATTCCCAATTTATGATTGCAATTGAGCCCAAAACTACAGTCATAAATCGTGGCACCCAGTGACCAGAGGTAATTTTCTGGCCTTTCCCACAGTGATTGTTAAATGAATGCCATGGACATTTACTGAACCACATTCGTTTGAATGGGTGGGGTTTTTTTTTGCCACAAACAGACCAAAAAAAAAAAACCCTCATAAAATGCAGATTTTGTTAATGTGTCAGCTTGGGCATTCATGGGGCAGAGATTGGAAGGGGTGCAAGTGAGAAAATATATCTCAAAATAATAGTACAAACTCCAAAACCGATGTATTAGTATCTGACTTGGAGACACAAGTACAAAAGAGCTGGATTTCCATCATGGTGTCACTGTGTGCATGGCAACAATTTTTGTGTGTTAGAAGAAAATTTTGATCCATTCTGCAGCCAGGTAAATGAGTAGAGAACACCTATTTGAAGTGGAGGTGACATTTAATTGAGAGCAAATCAAATACTATTATTCAGATCTCAAACGGGCCACAAAATCATAAGGGGTAGCACGCGCATGCGCAGATGTGCAGCACGCAAGGGGGGGCATGCGCTTATGCGCAGGGGGCATTGGGCAGCACATATTGCCTTCTGGGTGCTGGCACATGAGCACGCACAAGCAAGCAAGTGCACAATTATTGGCACAGACGCCCAAAAAGGTTAGCCACCACTGACCTAGGAGATCAGGCCTATAACTGGAAAAAATAAAGTCCCTTTGCAAGTTCTTTCCTTATTGTTCTGTGATGGCATATTTTCAGATGTTCTTCAGATTATTGTGGATATTCCAACCAGTAAATATAAGTTAGAATTTTAGTGCACAGTTTTTTAATATATTAATTATTCATACACATTGTTTGAAGGTTAGGCTTTAAAGGCATGAAATCTTACGCTCTGGTAAATCTGTTAATTCACCAACTCTCTTTGGAAGAGGGTTGCTATATCCATTACAAACCAGTATCCATGATGTGATATTTGTGCAGATTTTTGAAATTTGGGCTTTCTTTTATGACAATCATCGATATTTAAAAAGGGAAGATTGAATAGATTAGAAAGTTAGCATCAAACTACTTGGAAAAAATAATGGTGATTACTGCTGCACGATTAAAGCTGAACTCCAACAATTTAATGTTTCAAGTTTCACTGGTGTTGTAAGCCCAAGCACTACCGCTCAGATCATCCTTAAATTAAGCACCAACACAAGTTCAAAAATAGTAGTCTTACTATGCTTTTGCTATTTCTCTCTTTCATGTGAGTAAAAAGAAAGAAGTTGGGGAAAGTGTCCTATAACACATGACATTCAGGATCTACCTTGCCTGGGAAGGATCTTTGTGATGGGATCACACGTTAATATATTTTGTTTAAAAGAAGTACATACTAATTACTATGTAGCATTGCAAATGTTTATATTCACTATGTGAAATCATCTATGAAATCCTTTCTTAGTTATTCATAGGAACTGCACCCTTCAAAAAGAATGTAGACTTGTTTCTATTATTAATTGCATAAGAACAGAGCAGGACAGTAGAATAGAGGTCAATACTCCTTGAAGAATAAACTACTAGAAGAAATAAAATTTCTCAATTATCTTTTTGGCTGGGTCAGTAATTAACTGGACATTTTTTTCTCTGCTTTATTATTGCTTATTGATATTACAAAAATGTTTTTTCCCTTAAAGGGATACTTTTAAAGTTTATGCATCTATTAAGAAGTTAAAATCAATGTTGCAGTTGTTTCCTAATGTTGCTGTTTTTCCCCAATGTGTAAGAAAAAAGCACTTCATTTGGGGAAAAAGCTGCAAGTAAAATTTGTTATGATTATCCAAAATTTCCAACATTAATCATATTTTTGGTTATTATTGTTGTATTTATGTTTTTCTGTTTTGTATTTTATTCCTATTGATAAAACACAATAAATATATACATTAAAAAGATCATCCAAAATTTCTTCCCCTTGGATTGTTTACAAAGTATTGTGCTATGTGTGCCAAGTATCCTTAGTAATCAGATTTGCTTTCTGATCTGAAACTAAAACACTTCCAACTTGTGGTTACTTAAACACATCAGTGAAGGAATGACTTTCATTTCCACGTCTAATTGTTTCCACTGCCAAACTACTTTTAGCTTTTAGACAGAAGCTGCCTTCTTGGAACACATCTAGCTTGCTCATCATGGCTGTAAGTCATGACAGTTGTAAAACTATGGTACTGACTATTTTTGTGGTGGTTGTTAAGCAAATGCCACTGTTGCAAAGTGGCTGCTACAATAATTAAGCAAATTAAGTGAACCAGTGGTTTGTCATGATACAGTTTTGCCATAAAACAGTAGTAAATGTCAGCTTTCAGCAAACTGTTATAATATGTGGTCATACGATTGTGGGATACTGCAAACAGTTGTAAAGGTGGCCCAGTTGCCAAGTGCTGAAGTTTAGTCATGTGACTCCCATTCAGGGCAATTGCTGAATCCGGGCCCTAAGTAGGTCCTTTATATCTTTGAATTGTTGCTAAAGGCAATCTGTAATGCGTATTAGTAGCAAAGCACAGAGTTACATTAACACATATTTTGTTTTTTATTATTTACTTCTAGATTTTCCTTATTACTCCTTAATCTGGAAGAATACTACTTTGAACAACATACAGCTAATTATATTTTAAAGAAAGATAGCAAGGGAATAAGGTATTACTCTTTTCATAAAAGGGAAAACACTAATATTGTACTGTTTCAAAATTCTGCAATAACTTTGTCTTCTAATACTTAGGAAAATTAAAGGATCATTTAAAATCTGCTCAAAATCAGTGATATTTGAGCCTGATGAAATAAGCCATCCCATTATTAAGGTAAGTAGATGACTAAGTAATATCAAGAATTTTGGTTGGTTTTAACTTCAAACTCGAATGAATTTTTTTTTCCCCTGTGAATTCACATAGATTCCTTTGAGAGATTGTATTAAAATTGAAGCACCAGAATATAGTGGGAATTATTCCTTTACAAGGTAAATGCTTTTAAAGATGTGTTAAACACATATTTGTTTAATGTCAACACAACTGAATAGTGTGATAATATTATTTTCTTTTCCCCCAAATCTGTGTTTTAGTGGTACTTCTGGGCAGATTGCTATTTTATCTAGTCAAGTAAGTAACAAATAATATAAAAGTCCTTGTTTACAGTTTTTAAAATGTCATTTTTAAATTAATATGCAAATTCTTGTAAATTTGAAAGATTTTTCTGAGTTTTGCCATGATCTCTGAAAAGGCTTCTAATTCAGATCAAACTCTATTTGTTATGAAATTTGTATTTTATCAAGACAGCTTTGAAACTTCCATCATAATTCATACTGTAAGTGACAGTGGAACAATTACTCCAGGAGCAATGCTTAATGATGATATATTGGTTAACACTGTAAAGACATATCAGATTTCTGTTGCTGCTATATAAACTTAAAGGATACAAGAGATTTGTCAAATAATAAGCATAATAATACATAAGGAAGTTCAATGAGGTTATGTAGTATAATGATAGGTGACTTCAGCTCTGCCATTTGTACAACAGTGCTATAGTGGGACATAAATCATGATGCTGATAAGATAAGCACCCCTGATTGAACACACTGAACAGAACTGGTTTGTGTCAAAAGTGTGGATTCAAACGACCCTGTTAGAAAAACTTGTCAACTTTGAACAGCAAAAGTTTTGCTGTGCCCCAGATAACATTTTTATCATAAATCTTTGCACAAGCAAATATTTGTTTTAGGTTCTTCAAAGCAGAATCATACAGAGAAAAGTAACAAATTGTATGAAGAAAAAAGACAAGAGGTCTGATAGCTAATGTAAAATGAAAATAAAATGGATAAAGGATAACATCAATCTGCATGCTTAATAAGCTCATAGTCAATGGAAAAGATTTTCTTCACTCAGGAAGCAATAAACAGCATGCTTGGCATTGTAAGAAGTAAAATAATAGTAAAGAGGAAATAATGGGAAGCTCAGACAAGATCATGAAGCCAAAGAGGACTTCTATGACAACAAAGATCAGAACTTGATTGCAGAAAATACGACTTCAGCAACAGAGTGGTCAATGTTTGGAATACTCTACCTGACTCTGTGGCTTCTTCCCCAAACCCCAAAAACTTTAACCTTAGACTGACCTCGCCCCTTTCCTAAGAGGTCTGTAGGGAGTGTGCATAAGCGCATCAACCGTGCCTACCGTCCCTGTCCTATTGTTTCTTTTTATTTTTCTTATACGTATCCATCTCATGTATTCAAAACTATGTTTATACTTTTACCTGTTATCTTGTAAGCGATTAACAAATCAAATAAAAAAATAAAAAAATAGAATGTATCAGAATATCAAATATTCCCCTCTATTAAGATCCGAATAGTTAAAGCAGTGTACTTCCTAGTGGTATTGTATGGGTGAAAAAGTTGAACATTGATAGATGGCTTTTAATTGCAGCTTTGATTATGGTTATTAAGATCATGGGCTAAAAGAACCAGTCAATGAGTCCTGGAAGAAAAAGTGGTAGTGAGGCAATGATTAATAAACAAAAACTCTACAGATGATGGACTAGAAAAAAATAACTGCTTGGCATGATTGGGGAAAATGAAAAAAAGGGGAAGACAATGGAAAAGAGAGAGAAAAGGATCAAGAATATCGTTTGAATGTCCCTGAAAGAACAATAACTATGATTTGCCACTGTGCATGGAAAATGGCTGGCTTGGTGATTCTGGGAGTTGACGTCCACGCATCTTAGAGTTGCTAAGATTAAGAAACACTGAAGTAGAGAAACAACAAAATGGAGAATGTTTGTCCATAAAGTCACCGGGATATGTGTCTGACAATGTCACTATCTATAGGGAAACTTTTAACTTTTAAATAAAGGCGAAGTTAAACTAGGGTCACAGTGAAATATCAGACTACAATTTGGATTTGGTTTTTGTAAAAAAAACTTTTAAAATTAAAATGTAATTTTCACTTAAAATGAAAAAAGGTTAGGAGCATGATCTGATAACTTTCTGAACAGTTGCTATCCATTTATTCATGCTTTATAAGTTTTCCTGAATTTTGGATAATATCTAATAGCTACAGTATGTTGCAAAAAAAGTGCTAAACAAGTTATCCTTTTCTAAAGGCTTTTCTCACTAAAGAACAAAATATCATCGCACCCTTTAAAACCGAAAGAGTAAGTATATACGCTTCCATTTAAAGAAAAAAAATGTTATGTAACTATATGCTTTGTCTCTGAATTTTTTTTTAAAAAAAATAACTTGTTAGTGTTTTAACATAATCTTATTTTAATATAAAATATTACAGTGCCTTTTAATAGTTTAGGATATGAACTGTTAAATAAAACTTTTTAGGTGAAATATACAAACAATGTTTGATTTGTCAAATGTCATAAACAAGAAAAAGAATAAGAAACGGGAGTTATAATACAGCAACTAGATTAGAGTATCAGAAATAACAGGGATTACATCTAGAATTTGTTTGCATGGCATGCAGATGCTAAACTAGACTCTTCCTAATTTGGTTGTGTGTGGGTTTTAATATAATTTTAATTATCTCTTTTTGTTAGGGTCAAACTAAATATGTATTTGAACTGGATGTTGCTGGAAAAGTCGAAGATATCATACAAACACTTCATCAAGTATGAATAGTTGTTCATTTTATTGCTGCCTGTAGCATGGGATTTAGCTAATGAAACAGAGTAAACTCTCTTATCTAGTCAAATATTTGAAACAACTAACAAATGGCTATTCTTTTTCTTTTGCATGGTAGTCCTGAGTTAAATGTGGCTAATCAATTATTAGGCAATCCTGCAGACTGCTTCTGCAATCCCATAGAACAATCTGTGTCCTAGAGGCTGTTGAAAATTAGTAGACATATACAAAACCATATTTCCAAGCAATCAAAGGAGAAATTTATATCGGTTTCTTATTTTTTATTTGTAGCAGTAATGAGTATATCTCTGCTTAGAAAAGCTGTGTTTACTAATCATTAACTAGTAGCAGCACCTAGCCAATTTTGAGTGATCTTGAAAAGGCTAAGCAGGAATGTGGCCTGATTTGTATTTACCTCAGTATTTTATTGGCTATGGGTTTCACTGGAAAACTGAAATAACATTACAGAAGAAATCAATGTCAAAATCATTTTATATCTCTGCCAAAGAATCTACATGGATGTAGGCACCAGTCAAACTTGAATCAAGGGAAATATTGCTGCTGAAAATAGTACTATTGGGACAAAATTCTTATGAATGCACATATATGGATGGATGTATAAAAATCTTGGTAAAGTTAAATTTGTTAAGAATCTATATCAAGAATTGACCTTTCAGGGAGTGTATGAGACACTTCGTTTACTGTTGTATTCTACTTTTAGGATCTTCTGCTACGGCTCTTAAGTTTTGATCATTTCAAAATGGTGATTAAGTAGGCTAATATTTTTCAGCAGTTGTTATTGGAGGGGGGGCTCTTGATATAAAAAGGGGTTCCTGGGGGTTACATGTGACTTAAAGCTATGAATTGTGACTCTTGATCTATGATTTATAATTATATATGCCTGTTGTGATGCAAGTCTGTAGATAAAAATGGATCTAATGCAACATTAGTAATTCTGACAGAAGTCTCACCTGTATCTGTGAACTTCAACTCCCTTATATCTGGGAAAACTTCTAAATTTCATTTGATTGCTTCTGTTTTTTAACAGTTATACAGAGCATCGCACTTGGACAAGCTAGGGGACCAGGCTGCTATGGTAAATATGTACTAGAGATGCAATATTAATGGAATGATTAATGTGACAATCCTATTTGCATTAAAAATTTAAAGCTGATTATTGTTATTATTTTAAATCAGATAACTGCTATTCTACAGTCACGTTTGGCCAGAACATCATTTGATAAGAACAGGTATGTTTTTCTATGTTGGTTCAGGGAACATCTCATCTTTTCACTCTTAGTTTTTTCTTTTAAATAATTAACATGCTTAGGAAAATATGAAAAGCAAAGAGTAGATCAGCAATAGGAAACTATGTGTACTGATTTACAATGTTTTCTCTATTTATATGTGTTTATCTTACTATGCTGAATTCTGAATTTTTGAATTGCTTATTTCTGTGGCAAAATAAAGATAACCAAAGAAGTCTAAAGTAAACCCCCTTTGTTGGTTGACATGTTATTGTTCAGTACCGTAAAAAAGATTTCACACTTGTTGTTATAATATATATAAAGTAGTAAATAGTATATTCTAAACTATGTATAAAGATGTGATAGAAAACTCTGGGATGTTATGATAAGGAATAAGTAGAAACTTACACTGGGCATTTCTTTGTTATTTGAATAGATTTCAGAATGTTTCTGAAACGCTACATATGGAATGTAAAGCGGAAATGGTCACTCCATTGGTAACAAATCCAGGGCATGTATGCATCACTGATGAAAACCTGTATTTCCAGCCTCTCAATGGCTATCCTGTGAGTAATTTGCATTTTCTGATCTGCCGCTATTAAAGCCTTGATAAGTGTGCTAGCAAAATATTCTCCAAGTGTATACAATGTGTTCGTTATTTGGCCCTCAAATCAAATTCATCCTCCAATGAATTCTGCTTTTAATGCAAATCAAACAATCCTGTCATTTTCTGTAGGTGCTATATTTCTCCAGGCTGATGAAATCTAATTTCAACTTAAGCCTGCTTTTTTAAAATATCCATATTATAATTAAGGATAACAATATTAAAGCACACAGACAAGTACTGGCCAGTTAGTACACTTACCTTATCAGTGGTAGAAAACTAGTCTTGGGTCATTTCCTAATTGGAGACTTATAGCACTGGACTCATTCAACTATTGTTGCGTCAAAGTAGCAATATAGAAGAGAGACTTATATCACTTCATTATGGCTCAAATAATGCCATGAACATGGTATGAATTAATAAATGGAAAATGTCCTTAATGGCTATTTTGTTACACACTGATGATTCTGGGAAATACAAGAATTGGGGTGCTATGGCTTGCATATGTGGATTTCAATTGATATTTGAGATCCACCTGGCTTTTCTGTGGTAGTTAAGTTAAACATTTTTATCTGTTGTCAAGGTTCCATACTATCTCAATTAATTAAGAAAGTCAAAGTGTTCTTGCTGTGATGCTAACAAACTAGAAAGTAGATTCATGTATTTCCTTGTGGGAAGCCATGGTATCTTCTGCTCACTTGTCTATGTATAATTATATCACACAAAGTTTCTATAATGTGAATCTGTCCTCAACATCAAAAAGTTGGCTTAATTTTTAATTAGCTTCCATAACAAATAGCTGGCTATTTTCAGAACACATACAGATTACTGAACAATCTCAGAAATTGCCTCTCTGAAATTAAGATAATTGACCCATCCTCTTAAAAAATATCCCAACAATCTTCCAAAATGGTCTTTTCTTGGATTTAACATTGAGACTCACTGTTGATAAAGTGCTAGAGGAGGAAATGCATCTTCTATCTAGAACATGTGACTAAAACTGGAAGGAATGTGTCATCTTTTGACTTCTTTCCTTATAGAAACCTGTGGTACAAGTGACACTGCGTAGTGTCAGACGCATCTATAAAAGAAGACATAGCCTGTCGCCTTTGGTAAGATAATACTTGCTTTTGATCCTTGCTATCGGAGATGTGTTTCATGGGTTTAAATTTAGCTATTTCAATTCCTTGGGAAACAAGTATTATACAGTATAATTTAAATGGTACCAAGTGCTCGCCTAGTAAAAATAATAATAATAATAAAAATAAATTAATTGCAATGACTTTTTATGCTATAAAAATAATGTAGGCATTGCTTTTGCTATTGTGAAAACAATAAGAAGCAGATATCTATGCTTAACATTGCTATATGGATCCGGGTTAATTCAGTGATTTTGTTAACTTCATTGCGTGTCATTTTAATCTTTTTTTTTTTAATTTTCAAGGGTCTGGAAGTATTTTGCACCGAGAATGATTTATGTTCAGACATCTATTTGAAATTCAACAACACTGAGGACCGAGATAATGTATATTTCTACGTGTCAACATATTTAGGTTTCAACAACAATCTAATAAATAATATAGTGTGTGTGTGTGTGTGTGTGTGTGTGAATCTAACTTCAGCTTTTTTGTATAGATTTAGCTTTTATAGAAGATTGGAAGTATTGCATAGAAAAAGAGCTCTTTATTATTTTGTGGAGATACTTAGCAGCAAGTTCTTAGCACCGTCTTTACACTTGTGTATGATTAGCAGAAGAAAGCCATTGAAAGATGAGAATCAGGCAAAGAGACTTCTATATCTTCTGTATCATTTGATAATACCGTCTACATAACCAGAAGAGAAGCTTTAATATAAGGAAGGAAAATATTGCAACTTGGGACAAATAACAAAGATTAGATATATATTTTGATTAAGGTTTCTGTTGTTATCTATGCTTTTCCCTCAATATTTTTAAATAAAAAAATTCTCTTAGCCAATAATGTTTAGATTGGGTGGCAGAGATAATTATGGCAGAATGTATTAACCATATAATTTACTTGAAACTTTAAATAACAGAGTTTAGTTGTTTTTGTCATAGTGATCATTACAGGCACAGACCCATAAAAAATAGCAATAGCACTTAGTCTTATATATTGCTTCATAGTGCTTTACAGCCCTCTCTAAGTGATTTACAGAGTCAGCATATTGTCCCCAACAATCTGGGTTCTCATTTTCACTGACCTTGGAAGGCTGAGTCAAACTTGAGCCTGTCAAGATTGAAGAAATTGAACTCCTGGCATTGAGCAGAGTTAGCCTGCATACGGCATTCTAACTTCTGCGCCACCACCACTCTTATTATGTAACTATAATAGTAACTATTATAATTTATTTTTCTGTTCATCTTTTATGCCTAATTTTTTATTTTGTTTCTGTTAGAAAAAAGACTTTTAAAACTAGTAAAAACTGAATTTAAATAAATTTGGAATCCCAACTTTAGCAAAAGAGCATGGATAGAGTGCAAACATTTGACCTGTACAACACTTCAGAAGTAATATAGAGAAAGTGGTTCAGAATGTGGGATTCTCTAGACCAGCCAGTTTTTTTTCCTGCAGTTGCACAGCCACCTTATGTAGCTGCCCTGTGATACATGTAGTCCTCAACTTATGACCACAATTGGGACTGAATTGTTAAATGAAGTGGTCTTTCAATGGATTATGCCTCACTTTACAAGTCTTTTTGCTGTGGTCAGTGAATCAACATGGCTGTTAAATAAATCATGTTTGTTAATGAATACAGCTCCCCAACATTGCCTTTGCTTGTTGGAAAATTGTAACTGGTGAACACAGGACCCCAGGATGTTGCCGTCTTAATAAATGCACGCTAATTCCTAAACTCTCAAACTGTGATCAAATGACTGCGGGAATGCTATGACAGTAGTAAGTGCTAGGACTTGTCATAAATCACTGTTCAGTGCCATCGTAACTTTAAATGATTGCTAAACAAATGGTCGTAATCCGAGTACTACCTGTATTGAGAAAATGTGGTGATTCAAAAAGAAACAAATAGGTGGCACATTTTCACCGGTTTCTTGGAACTGAATGCAAAGCATTACCTATCTTTTACAAACTAATGACAAAAGTCAGCAGACCAAGCCAATTCATAAATGTAGTAGTACTAGAATAGCTCAGCAGTTCCAGCAACTCTTGCCCCTGAAGCCATGTTTTGTCTTAGACAACAATCTTTGTATTTGCCTATCTTTGAATCTCAAGACTGTATGCATAAAACAAAGTAGAACATGAAACACACCTATAGTTAATTTGAATGAAAACTTAACTTCCCCACAGGAAATTTGTTTGTAAGAGGCAGCAACATGTCTACTAGGAAGGCAGGCATGAATTTCGGAGAAATCTTCGTCTATGCACAAGAAGAAGCCGAACAGAGCCCACAGCAGCTCTTTAGCACTTTGTCATGGTTGCAGGAACTATTGGCTTTGCTCCAACATTTGATCTGATTTCAGTCAATACTTCTTGGGAAAATTTTAATAATGCAACCACGACACAGCATTTGAAACAGCAGGTATAAATAGAATTTACAATAGATTGGTTCTAATATAGATCTTGAGACACGTGAAAAGCCTGAAACTTGAACTCAGAATATTTAGTACAGTACCACAAAAGATGTTGAAAGATAGGAGGGCAGCTATGTACGGTGTAATCTAAAATCAAATGAGGTATGAGCATTGGTCAGTGGGATACTAAAAGAGAAGTCTAGTTTGGATTAAGAGCAGTACATCAAAATGTGTGTAGGGTGAGGATAAAGATGATTAAAGTCCTCAAAGATTAAACAAAACAATATAACTGATTTTATTCCTATCATATTACTTTATTTGTATATTTTAAGGTAGGCAGAATACCTTCTCCATCATCGCCCATCCCAAGATTCTCTATCAGTTTTTTTGCCATGAAATTTCCATGGAAGACAATAGCTCGGAAGACAGTTACTTAGAAAAACTACTGGAGGATTGCTGTTAATAATTGCTCATTTTTATGTTAGAAGGTAGACATATATAGAATAGGGATGACAAGATAATTCTTTTGTGGGGAATAGCTTCACCCATTTCTCATAAATCTGAATACTTGCTGTCATACCTGCCTTATCTGATCAGTGATAAATGATGGCTCTGTAAGCCTTGCGGGATAGAAATTCAACCTAATACAAGTTCCTTGGAGAGCTTTAATGGCAAATTATATTAATTTCTTTTTTGCAATCTGTCACATTTTCTGTATCCTTCTAGAAAATCATATTACAGAGCACACCGCGGAGAGCTACATGTTACAATGGCAACGAGGACATATCTCAAACTACCAATACCTTCTTCATCTCAATAATCTGGCTGATCGGAGCTGCAACGATCTTTCCCAGTACCCTGTCTTTCCATGGATCATAGCAGATTATTCTAGCTCAGAACTAGGTAAGACTTCTTTGGAGACAAGCGAAGTAAATGCGATGGGACTATCCAGACAAGATATCCGTGCAGTTGTATACTTGTGCTGTCAGTTCATTTTCTCAAACTTGTTTCCAAAATGGAATAGTTTTTAGTAGCAACATCATTTGCAGTATTGGTTTCTAAACCTGATTTTAAAAAGTTGCACAGCTGCTGCTTACTTTGCTACATTTAGACTTTCAAACGAATCCTCAAAGAAATACAAGTCAGGAAACATTAAAAACAACCTGGGGCATGAAGATAAGAGATTCAATAAGTGCTGTTGCAAAAATCCATTCATTTCAATTAAGGTTGCATAGAGTTTCACAGCCTGCATCGTAAGCACTAACTTGGACATGTTATTCATAGAAAGTAAGGGTCTTGAATAGATTTGGGAAGGGTGGTTTGCATATATGTTTTCTGCTTATCTAAAAGAAGAACTAAGAGTTGTTAGCATGTTTTTTTTTAAAAAAAAGATTGATTGTACCTTTTCAGTATGGTTTTAAATAAAGTTGCTTGCTATCTAAAATCCAAAAATCTAATTTCTCTGAATTTTCAACTTGAAGAAAGCATAAAAATGTGTATTATACCAAAATAGCATGCAAAACTAAAATAACCTAAAATGGATAATTGTGAATAAAAAATATCAAATGACTGAAACTTCCCAAAAACATGTATTTTATTTTTAAATTGGTTATTTTAAAATAAGTTTAAAAAGAATACATATGTATGTATGTATGTATGTATGTTTTCTGAGGTTCTCGCAGGTATTTGTATGTGGATCTTTGG